AATATTTTTGTGAAGAATCTTTATTTTCAAACCAGTGATAAAAATGAAGAACAATTTTAGACTTTGGAACTATATTACTAATTATAAAATATTTTCAAAGCATGTAGTACATTATTTGTTCATTTTTTGTCAGAAATAATATTCGCTTTCAACAATGGTTTAGGTAATTATAAGTCAGGGAGAAAATGTTAAACCATTAAAGTTATAAAGAGTTAAAAATGATAGAATAAAACTGAAATTACATGATTTTCTTCTCTTTTTTAATTTTTTTTTTTTTTAAACAAAATATATTATCTGTATTATATATACTGTATATAAAATGTGCAGTTTTCAAATTTATGTGTAAAAAAGAGACCTATCCTGTTGTAGGTTACTAGTACCATAGTTAAGTTGAAAAAAAAAAATATTAAAAAAAAAAAAGAAAATATTAAAAGAAAATATTTAAAAAAAGGAAAATATTAAATAAAAAAAAGCGAGAAAAAAAAGATGTATTCAATGGTTGAAAATGAGGAGCACATTTAATAATAAATGATAGTTACAAAATAATAAAAATTAAATCTTACCTTGCATTGCTGCCATGTATAGATACTGATTGTTTATGCCACCTCCATTTCCACCAAACAATGACGAACTGGCCGTCCCAGAACTGGCCTGGCTGTAAGCCATAGCCAACAAACAAGCAGCAAGAACAAAAATCACAGCCTTCATCATTTTAAATTTTAGAATTTTTTTTGTTTCCTCTAAAAGAATCGAAACGTTTGTTCGAAGTGAACACTACGGAGCTCAGAAGTCAATTGCTGGTGTAAGAGGAAATTTGTGTGCCTTTTATACTGAGTCTTAAAGATGGGTCAGTAGTGTCGTAAGGACATAAATCTTGTGGCTTTAGACAATAAGTAATTTATTTCATCAAGACATAATTATTAGTAGGAGTCATGTTTTACCTTCAGGGTGAAAAAATTATGCAGAAAGCTGTCAATCAGCGTGTTCATGTATAATACTTTGTAAGGTTTTGTACTAATATTCGCACATTTTTGTGGAGTAAATTTCTATTTAATTACCCTGTCATATAGTTGTTACTGTAATTAACAGTACTCTTATGCTAAATAACAATCTTGATTAATCTGGTTAAATCGTGTGGTCAAAAAAAAATGCAGGCGAGGGTGTTTTTTTGGTTTTTACTCACCAAATACGTGACTTAGAAGTCACAACATAAACAAATTTATTGTTGTTCGTTGTTTTTGGTTGTTTTTTAAAGAAAAGAATTATTTAATCTTTTTCATTATTACATTCCTGTCATTTTTCTTAAATTGGTCACCTGGGCATGATATTGTCAGGTTTTTCAAGTGGCATATTATTAATTTATTATAGAAGGACTCTTGGTGAAGACAGAAATAAAGTTGAATAGTTTCATACAATGTATTAGTTTATACAAATTTGTTTTAGTTTGATTGTGTTAATTGGAATCTATAAGCTTATTGAAACACTTTGGAATCCATTCCTGGAAGCTGTAAACTTAGCAATGAATGTAGTTTCTTGCTCAAGGAAACAACGGCTTGCCCCTAACAGGTTTGAACACACACGGTCAGCAATCTTTAGATTACTAGTCCGAAGAGTTAACCACTTAGCCATGGTGCCACAATGTATAAATAAATACAGACAAATGTTATCCTGCTTTGTTTGTTTTGTATAATTTAAATTCCCATATGTTTAAATAATAGAAAATAAAGTCTTGCCATTCGAAATATGGTGGTAGAGAGAATTGAAAAAAAAATTGACCTCATTTTAGTTGAAATTTTAATTTTGTTGTTTCCTAAACTACATTATCTTTCTTACTAATAGTTTATGAAAAGAATGAACATAAATGTCTGTACAACATGTACATCTGATTGTAAAGCTTTACAAGATGCTAGATTATCTTTTATGTAATTGTATTTCAAAATTCTTGTAAATTAAATTGAAAAATACAATTTTAATATTTTTTTGCAAATTTACTTAACAATTACTTGTAAATGAACAGTACAAAAACAAAAAAAAACAACGACAGATAACATCAAGTATTTCTGAAGAAGACAAATTTTGAAAGCTAAAGAAAAGTGTTTGTTTTTATTGAACTGATTGATTATATAATTATATTAGTAAATGAACATATTATTAGTCTGACCGTTTTTTCCATTTTATGTACATGTATATAAATTGTATAGAACTTTTACATTTATGGAGCATGATTGCCGGGTAGCTGTCGTAGTCCACGTGAAACAAACTTCAATAAATCTCAGAATACTTAATTGATTATCATAACACCAGGGCTTATCCTGAGTTACATTCATTTTCAGCTTGGAAATTTTGTCAAATTCCTTCTAATATAACACAGTCATGTATTTTTTCCCTCTGTTAAGAGTTTAGTATTTTTCGGAACATTGCATTTTGTTTTACAAAAACAAGAAACGGACAACAACAAAAATTTATTTTGGAAGTGAAGCATTGGTTAATTACGCTTTTCTTTTTCACAAAGATTTGGTAAAAAAAAATCTACAAAACTTTTGATGACCTGAAGATAAGAACTCCTTTTTCTGCTTTTAAACAATAACGATTATTTTTAGCCCTGAACCAGCTGAACTTTATGTACACTGGATTTGGTGTGTTCTTTTAATTTGGAGCAGTCTGTCATATGTTTAAGGGAATTTGATATACCCGGTAATATAAAAAAATGAGCTACCAACAGAAACAAGCATCAGATCAAGCTGCACAGCTGTACTTTGTCAATACTACATCGTACATGTAGTAGCAACGAAAGTCTAAAAAACTTGTAAAGGGTAAGGAAATTGTTAATATTAAAGTCTGTAGGTATTTTTTCACAGGTTAGGGAAACAACCCTGCCCTTAATTTTGGGGGAAAATTACATCATAGGTTTGCAAAAGGGGAAGAAAAAACTTAATGTAAATTAATTTTTTGGGGAAAACTGCATGATTTTAAAGAATTTTTCTTTGGGAATGGCCCCTGCTTTAGAAGGAAAAAAGGCTGTGACTGTCTTAATCACACTTCAATGTGAGTCGACTAATTTACAAGCACTTTGTGACCTCACTTACTTTAAGGTTATAGTCATGTGATTCTTTTTCGAAACAAAGTGACAATTGAAAAACTTCCCAATTGACCAGGCGAATGACAGCATAGTGACAATAAATGTGGTAATAAAAAATATCGCTGACCGAAAACCAATGGTTGGGCTGGATATTAGCATAATGTAGACGGGGGCAAGTTGTATCGAATAATTATCGGCATTAAATAAGTATAATATCTGTATATTAATTAGCAATTTTTGAGAAGTATCTTATGTTAGATGTATACATAATGACATGGGCTATGCTACAATTAACTGAGGTGTTTCGTTAAAATCCCATCCATCAAGACAGTATTTGCATATAATTCTGGTTTAAACTGGATGAAACCTAGTACAACCGGAAAATGTGACAAACCAGTGACAAGTGCTGTATAATAAATTGTCAGTGAAAATAAGTAAAACATGTTTACCAAAAACGTGATTTAACATATCTGTGTCATATGATACTAGATTAAATGAAATTTTCCTTATTTTTGTCAACATAATTTGCATGCGCATGTCCTGCCTCCAGATTATTTGCTGCCATAAATGTAATTAGACCTTTGAATTAAGAGATTCATAAATATAAATGATAAAGAGAGTGATTAATACTGTTTTACTAAATATGTGTTGCCAACAAGGCATGTGGAATAGTTTTATATAGCAATATATGTTATAAATGTTTATAAAATTTAATGTTCCTTTAACAAAACCATGTTTTTGGTGTTAGCATACATTTTTTATGAACATATATGTAATTGTAAATTAAAATGTTTTTTGATTTCTCTAGATTAAAAAACTTACTTGTATGAAATACTGTACAATTTGTCACACATTTTTATAAACACAATTGAATTGAAGACAAGAATATAATGTAAGCCTCTTTTCTTCAATTTATCATTCTGTTGATTTTAGACATTCATTCACATGAATATACTCTTTCTCAATCAGAATTTAATTGCATATTCCACTGCCTAAGTGCATGTACAAATAAGATTGGTATCTGTCTGGAAACTATAACTGGAAACAAAAAATTAAAAGGTTTCTGAGAATTATAATAAAACTATTTCTGGGGCAAAATGTGCCTTTAAAGTTTTTATGATCTGTAGGGGTGCTGCTTTAAGTGAATTGGTCTGTATTAAATTGGAGGTCTGTAATTCTAATATTTTCTTATTACACTATTATTAATATATTTAGTATAAAACATTACAAATCACAAAAATGTTGTTGGTAAGTGTGTGATACATGTTCCAATATAATAGATCTACATAAATTATAGAAGACAATAAACTGTTCTTAGAACAAAATATTATTTTCATTGAATAAATAAATGTTCATACTACAGCATTTAGAACTGACTATCAACATTTTTCTTTTCAAGATATTTTATAAGATGATATCCAAATGTAATTTAATTTTTTTTTTCTTTCAATATTTAAAAATATTTATGGAAAATGTTCAAATTATAAACCAGTTCACTTTAAGGACTTAAGTTATATCAAAGTTTAAAGTCCATTATGCCTCGGAAAGGCTTTTATTTTGTATTTTTGAAAAGCTTTTTTCTTTTTGAAATTAGTACAGTATAGTGATTTAGTATTTTTCTATGGAAGTCAAATACTACTTTGTTTGTATGTTGCAACTTTTATGACAAATATGTTTCATATTCTGACAAATATGTTTCATATTCAGAGCTACCTTAACTTCAGTTAGAAAGCATCTAAAATGCTCTAAAACCATTAATTAAACTAATTTAAACATTATAAAACTCATATTTACTCTTTCTAAAGAAGGAGGAAACTGTTATTTCTGAGATACAATGTGCTTTTAGATAAAAGTTATTGTAGTTGTTATATACAGTTATGTAGTACAGTTTATTTGTAGTTTCATTTGATATATTTGGTAGATATCTGATGATGAAGATGATACGCATCCAAATATTGACACACCAAGCTTGTTCCGATGGCGACATCAGGCAAGAGTCGAGAAAATGGAAGAAGCAAAAAAAGAAAAGGAGACACTGTCCACCAAGCACCAAAGGTAGATGGAGAAAATTGCCATTTTCTTTGGCTTTTACCTCTGAATAAATAAATTTATTATATACTTATAAATGAAATATTGAGAAATATTGATGAAATAAAATGCGTATTTTCATTTTCCGTATTTTCACTGTAAAAATTTATTTTTCACTGCAGTGAAACATATTTTCCGTATTTTCACTGGTGTCTTGCCGGACTACTTTCTTTTAAATTCTGCCAGTACACAAAATTTAAGGGGAAGTCTTTCAAATTTTAATGTCAAAAAAGAGAAAAATGTATATAATAAACAGAAAATTCAAGTTTTTTCTATAAATACAAGATTTATTTTCATCTTGTGGCATGAAAATTACCATATTTCACTTGTGGCTTGCGCCACTCATGAAATATTTATTTTCATACCACTCGATGAAAATAAATCATGTATTTATAGAAAAAACTTGAATATCCTCTATATATATATATATTACTTTTTGTACGTAAGATGTTTCAGAAAATTCAATGATTTTCTGTAGCCAAGAACTTGTCATGACAACTTCTCTACTGTAAAAGGTGTTCGCAAAGATGTCTTTGTGAGATCCGTAGGTTATATGTTCGCCCATGCAACTTTACAACTTAAAAGAAAAAAAAACTTTGAAATAATTTTAATCAGAAATATTTGTAAGATGAAACTTTCCGCTTGACGTATTTAATGTAAATAATTTTGAAGACAATAATAGCTAGCTATGTTTTGTTTGTCATAAAGGACTGTCAAGGCCTTCTTTATTTAGTGCGTAATGAATATGGACATATGTAAATAACTACTTAATATAGACAATATATGCGGTAATCACTGGCTCGGTTTTATTTATAACTTCTTACAACGAAAATAATATTTTTTAAAGTCATTCCAATTTCATCAGAGTGGTCTGAATAGATTTATAGATATGTATGGTTAACTTTTTTAAGTTTTCAACTAGAAGTATCTCCTTTTTTTCCTTTCATGGTGTTCTTTTCATACAAAGGTTTAAGTTTAGGCCCTCCTGTCCATTGCAGAGTGGTTTAAGTTGTGGAGCATGAGTTTCTTCACCTTCTTTTAATTTTATTGGTACAAACTTTGCTATATGTGAGAAAGGGTCTTCCATGGCAGAAAGTTTATTAAGGTTGTTGACAATGGAGCATCTGTTAGAAAATCCTTAACTTGTTGAATTTCTTTAATGGACTTTTCCAGCTATTATTTTGGAACTGTCCATTCAAAGTTAAGGGATTTTTTTATATTAAATCACTTGTATAATTCTGCAGGATTTGGCAAATTGATAGGTTAAAAAAAATTTTGTTAAATATCTTGTATAAATGTTTTTGTTAGTTCAGAGTTACATGACTGAATATTCAAATTTCATGGGCACCTGTAAAAAGACATTATAATTATATTGTTTTAAAGCATATGAAATCTCAATTTCATGAAATGAAATAATTTATTATGTTTTATTGATATCAAGAGTCTAGTGTCATAATATGAATATAAATGTAAATATACACGAAGATTATGACTGAGAAATGCCCGCTAAAATATTTTAACAAACCCTTGCGCCTATAAATTATTTCTTTGAAAATTTAGATAACACTTATATAAATATTCCGGAATATTCTGACCCTCAGCAAAATGCAGACATGCAAATTTTGTTTCAGTATTCATATTGTCTATCTGTTTTAAATAATTGAATTGACATTTAATTTAAATTCTCTGTGTGAATTGTATAAAATAATTGAGGGGAGGGGTTCATTTTAATTCATTTAAACAATTGGAACACTAGTCAGTTTATCATCTAAATGTCAGGATGGTATGCATATGCCAAAAATTTGACAATTATGGAGTCAGTTGTTATTGTATTAATTAAGAATGTTAGAAATACAAAGGTTGGCATAAAGTTCTTATGTAAAAAAAAAGATGAATTTAGTGAACTTTCACTGTGTAATATTATGCAAAAGAAATGCTGCATTGTGCAACTTCGATGTTTTATTCTTGAAAATTAAGTAACATCAAAAAATGCCTGAATCAAACTTATCTGCTTACTCTAATAGAAGATAGGTATACCAGAATTCAAAAATAGCGTGTATGTCAATTGTGTTTTTGTTCTAATGTTCAATGTAGATGAAACATTGTAGCCAGGATATCATTCCCACAACCTAGGAAAAGAATTGATTTTTCTGGAAAAATTAATACTTGAAATGATGGTTAAATTAAAATGTATAAGCAGTCTATAATATTCACTTAATCATTACTTTCATTTTGATTTATTATAAGATATATTGGACAGTTTTCCTACTATGTTTTATATTTTTACTCACATTTCCACAAAGGATTTGCAAAACCCCCTCCATGGTCGAGGGGTTAAGAGTCGATGACTTCTAATCCAGATACCTCTCCGCCGTGGGTTCGATCCCCGGGAGATGCTTTGGTTTTTAGCGCGGAGGAAGGTAGTTTAGTACTTGTTTAACTCTCCAGGAACGATGGTTAGGAAACTACCAGCCTATATGACTGAAATATACTGTTGGGAAAAGGCGTAAAATGAAACAATCAAACAAAAAAGGATTTGCCCAACTCAGCATTACTTCTGCACACTTTCTACATTATTTTCACATTCCTACATTACAGGATATAAGTGCAAGCTGATTTAATGATATTGAGGCATGTTCCTGTTGTCTGATATACATAATGAGTAAAACAAGCAATTTTATTGACAATTTCTACTTTTGTTACACATACTGGTTTATCTCCATATCAAGATAGCAATGTGATCACCTTCCAGTCACCCTTTTCAGAAATTTCTTATGATTGATTTTTTTATACCCCCGCACAACAAAGTTGTCAGGGGGGTATACTGGAATCAGCTTGTCCGTCCAGCTGTCGGGCGTCCGGCGGTTTTTTCTTGTCCGCCCAATAACTTAAGATTCCTTTGACCCACAGTCTTCATATTTGGCATGGAGGTTAGTCATGACGAGTAGATGACCCCTATTGATTTTGAGGTTGCCAGGTCAAAGGTCAATGTCACAGGGGCCTTGACTTAAAGGGAAAGACAAGGTTAGAATAAAAACTTGATTTCAGAAAAAGAATACTATAAATAATAAATCTGCAAATTTTCTACCGCCAAATAATAATATTAAACGAATAAAAACAAAATTTAAATCGCTAAATCACCGATTTCTACAAATCAGTAAGCGCGGCCATGTTTGTGTATTGGCCGTATAAAAACAGGTGCGCGTGATGTCATTTCCCCACATCTTTAGATTTATGATAAATCTAATTGAATCGTAGGGAAATATTCATATAATAAAGTATTGACCAGACAATTTAATTATTACAGAAGGTGTAGAGGAGATTCTTTATGGTTAAAAAAACGTAACAATATCCAAAAAAAAATAAAAAAAAAATAGAAAGAAACAAAAAAAATCAACGTCTACCGGTCGCACCACTTCAGGCCAGTGATGCCCGTTACTCCAAACAATGCTATGTTCACTAAAGTCTCATCTTAATGTAATTAAACAATATTTCACAGATTTAATAAAAACACATGTTATTATTTAACAAAGTTTCACAATCAAATAATGCGATTTAATAAACAAACGCACCAACGAATAATTGGCTGTTAATTATTGAACGGCGATAATTATCATTATTATAAAAATCCTACTAAAACGTGTTCTTAATAGTACATGTAATTAAAATTTTGCAGTTTGATTCTGACTTTCAAATTTAAAGGTGTGATAATTGATGTACACATTTCAAAAATATAAGCTACTCTTTTGAAAAGTAAATTGTTAACATGTCTGTCAACGTATGATGCTGCGCATCGTAATCGTAGCCTAATATTAACTGCAGGCAAAACATTTTTATTGGCTGCTCAAAAATCTAATTTGCATAATTTATTCACACAATTGCTGGTCCTTACTACTTATGCACTGTCCATTTTGATTGTTCCTAATTTGCACCAAAAATTCCTGTCACACTGTGTACTGACGATTTTTATTGCTCCTTGTATGCCTCTGTGCCGACAGACCTTTTGATCATGTTGCCCTGATTGGTTAATCACCCTTGTCAAATATTCTAATGACGAAATAGACATCTATTTTTTACGCTTCATGTGACTGAATGACCTTAGGGGAAATTAAGTTCCACACCTATTCCAATTATACTGTAAATTACAGCATGTCATAAAATAGCAACACATTTTTTTTCAGTTACCAATAATCATTTTAGATATTAAGTAGATTTATGATTTTTTGTTTTATTGGATTAAATTTACGGTAGTAGAAATGCGTATCTGTGTGGGAAAGAAATTGGGTAAGTAGATAACGTGGAAAAAAGCTATAGGGAACTGGATAAACCCGAGAATATGCGTAATTACAGGGGAATGGGCAACCCGTTGCTGTTGGTACCAGTTTTGACTGGGTGCCTAAATAACCTAACGGACAGTTTTGTTTTCATACGATATTAGTCTGGCTGCCGATTTTTCTGCGCCATTCTCATTTTTAGCGTCAATGGCGGCGAAAAATCGCGTCCTCAGCAGATCTCTGCATATTGGATTTAGTTGATATTTTACCTGAAAAAAAGATACATGACCGGCGATATGTACCCTATTCGGACAGCTTGTCTAGCGACAATTAAGTATAAAATAAAAAGAGTTATCGTCAATTTGAAGAAGTTCCTCATAGTACCCAAATTAAATTGATGGTTTATCTTTGAAAATTAAGCGGTCATTGCTTAAATCATGTGGTGGGATCATCAGCAAGCTTGAAAATCAGACAAATGATAATTAATGTCGCGGCATCTTCAATTAATTAATTAAAGCAATTCAGTTCCATATGATGTTTTCATAAATAATGTATAATGTACGCAATAACATTAATAAGTTCTTTATCAAGATATATTTCAGTTGTACCAGCGTGTACACCTATACTGGAAGTGGGTATATCACGTCACAATCTCGGTCTCGTCTGTCTCGCGAGAATGACAGAACGCCAAAATGGCGGCGCCCATGAACTAATTTCTCAAGTAAAAAATAGTGTCTTAAAACACGAATTTCTCACTTATTGGGTTGATGTCAACAGAAAAACTGTCATGGTACCTCTTTTTAAATGATGAATATATATATAAGACAGACATCAACCCATCCATTCCTATTCCTTTAAAAAAGCTTGTCCGCCCAATAACTTAAGATTCCTTTGACCCACAGTCTTCATATTTGGCATGGAGCTTAGTCATGATGAGTAGATGACCCCTATTGATTTTGAGGTCACTGGGTCAAAGTTCAAGGTCACAGGGGCCTTGACTTCAAAAAGCTTGTCCGCCCAATTACTTAAGATTCCTTTGACCCACAGTCTTCATATTTGGCATGGAGGTTAGTCATGACAAGTAGATAAATCCTATTGATTTTGAGGTCACCAGGTCAAAGGTCAAGGTCACAGGGGCCTTGACTGCAAAAAGCTTGTCTGCCCAATAACTTAAGATTCTTTTGACCCACAGTCTTCATATTTGGCATGGAGGTTAGTCATGACAATTTAATGACCCCTATTGATTTTGAGGTCACTGGGTCAAAGGTCAAGGTCACAGGGGCCTTGACTTAAAAAAGCTTGTCCGCCCAATAACTTAAGATTCCTTTGACCCACAGTCTTCATATTTGGCAAGGAGGTTAGTCATGACAAGTAGATAACCCCTATTGATTTTGAGGTCAAAGGTCAAGGACACAGGGGCCTTGACTGCAAAAAGCTTGTCCGCTCAATAACTTAAGAGTCCTTTGACCCACAGTCTTCATATTTGGCATGGAGGTTAGTCATGACGAGTAGATGACCCCTATTGATTTTGAGGCCACCAGGTCAAAGGTCAAGGTCACAGGGGCCTTGACTATAAAAAGCTTGTCTGCCCAATAACTTAAGATTCCTTTGACCCACAGTCTTCATATTTGGCATGGAGGTTAGTCATGATTAGTAGATGACCCCTTTTGATTTTGAGGTCACTGGGTCAAAGGTCAAGGTCACAGGGGCCTTGATTTCAAATAGTTTGTCGGCCCAATAACTTAAGAAACCTTTGACCCACAGTCTTCATATTTGGCATGGAGGTTAGTCATAATAAGTAGATGACCTCTATATATTTATTACACTGGGTCAAAGGTCAAGGTCACAGGGGCCTTGACTTATAAAGCTTGTCCACTGAATAACTTAAGATTCCTTTGACCCACAGTCTTCATATTTGGCATGGAGGTTAGTCATGATTAGTAGGTGATCCCTTTTTATTTTAAGGTCACTGGGTCAAAGATCAAGGTCACATGGACTTTGACTTCAAAAAGATTGTCCACCCATTAACTTAATATTCCTTTGACCCACAGTCTTCATATTTGGCATGGAGGTTGATCATGACTATAAGGTGACCCCTATTGATTTTGAGGGTCACTGGGTCAAAGGTCGACTAAAAAAAGCTTTTCCCCTCAATTGCTTAAGAATGCCTGTCCGCAGTTTATTGATTTTGACATTTTCACATTTGAAGCATGTAGAATACATAGCACTGGCTTAGTAACCTCAGATTTGGCAGGGACGTTGTCCTTGAGCTCTAAATGGCCACTGTTGATTCTGACAAAGTGGTATGCGGGGTTATTCACGCCATGACAGTGGCAGTTCTAGTTTTTTTGGCTATCACTACAAAATTTAGAAATTGAGCTGGTTGACGGAAAGACTTTAGAGCTAGACAATGTTTTTATTGATGTGATTATGTTTATTTAAGAAAGTTTTCTAATCTATTTATAGTAACCAGCAGAAGATACAGCAGATGAAACAGAAGATTAAAGAATCAGAGGAAAAGGTAAATACTTGTCCCCTCACCGCTGTAGTTTCAAATCCCGACAGGAATGAAGTTATCCAGCTAGCTTACAGAATTTTGGTGGTTCTACTAAGGTGCCTGTTTGTGCCTGAAATAATGTAAAGAAGGGCACCTGAGGTCTCCTTCCACCAGCAAAGCTAGAACATGGCCATGTGACCAATACTATGTCTGTATGATGTAAAAACCAATCAAACAAACAAACAAAAAACCTTTGATACACAGATTAAAGAATCAAGGGGGAAGGGACATACTATCCTGTAATAATGAAATAAATTTGATAAATAGAACTGAACATAAAAGAAAAAGTGCAGAATATGATCAATCAGATGGCACACCCATTCTGGCTAATCTTCGTCTGCACTGGTCACATGGGTACATTCTGCAGCTGCTTGCAGGCTAAGGAGTGAAAATGGGGCAGTGATTGGTAAGATTTAATAGCAAAGGCGAAACACTGACTACGGTGAAATGTTCCTGTCCTAACAAATTCTTTGGAACATTTTAATTATCTTTGGGCTAGTTTAATTTTTAGCAAAAGTGTGATTAGCAGTTTACTAAAATGCAATGGGAATAATAATATGTTAATATAGTACATAGCACTTAAAGGTTTGTCATTTATTGGCTTGCAAATTTACATATGATTCCCTGGTTAGTATTAGGTGAATTAAAGAATTTTTTTATCTGTTAATACAGTAGAATAAATTGTATGTTAATATGATCTTATCATACAAATGAATATTTATTTTGTTTGTTTCTATATAAATTAAGCCATTTGAAAGTATTCTGACCTTTAAAGTAGGCCATATGAAGAATGCATGATTTATTTGTGGCAAACAAGTCATTTGATACTTTAAAGTATGCAGGATGAGCATTATACTGTTTGTCATAATGTCTGTTAATTAATGTGACTCAATTTGTTATATTTAATACAAAAGAAGACATTACATCCCAGTATGATTCTGACCTAAATTACTGGTACCAATCTAAGTAAACGAAGTAGAACAGCATGTCAAATTACTGGTAGTATACTCAGTCATATACTAATTAATCATTAATTTTCAACCAACAAAAATGTCCTATTTGACAAAAACTCTTAAATTTATGTTTACTAAATTTACATTACTGGACCTTAAAATTGTATTGTAATGTGCTTGTCTGGCTATAGTATTTGTTAAAGTTTTAGATTTTTCTATAATTATCAGATGACATTTATTGAGTTTTGTGACTGACTAGACAGTTATGTTTTGAGAATGAAAGTAACAGGGTCTTCATTGCAGTCAGCTGTTTTTTCATGGCACCGGGAGTCATGCAAGAATGGTTTGTGCTTGTGTGTCTTTATCTCTAAAATGCCAAGATTTCTTCTCTGTTAAAGGGACTCCACTAAGGTTTAAAGCTTAAAAACGTAACATTTGAATTTCTTACATAAATGAGCTGTGGCACTTTAAACAGAAATATATGCAAAGATAGGTAAGAAATATACTTTGAAATAAATTGAAAGTCGTATTTTTCTTCTTTTCTTAGTCCAATTTGAGTAAAAAGCATTTAAACGCTTTTCATTTTGGGTTATTTTTTCACAATTTGAATATTTATTCTGGAAAAACAAAGTGTGCGGATGATCTGAAATTTTGCACAGAGATTAGTGGTCTAAACCTACATCAAATGGTACATTTATATGGAAAAAATATTTTCAGTCCCATCATGTCAAAAAACCTCCGTGGAGTCCCTTTAATGTATGCCTGCATGTGCAGTTTAATGCAAGAATTTTGATTACTGCATGAGTGCAGTAAGATCATCATAAATACTGTAGGCATGAATGATTAATGACACAATATCTGTATGAAAAATCGTACAACAATACAATGTTTAAATTGAAATAATTAATATCTATTTCCATCTTAACATGCTCATAAAAAGAGAATTAATGGAAATATGTCCAAATGAATTCAGTGTAAAAGTAATTTAATTATTTGGTTGAATGATACAGTCATAGCTAAATACATTATAACTCAGTGATTAATATTCTTGTCTTAAAATTGTGTATAAATTATAGACAAATGTATATAGTGCACTACATGTAAATTTATTTTTTAACAGCCAATGAATGTGAAGCGAGTCTTTAAAAAAAAGCACCATTTTCAAGTTCATGGTATCTTCTGGTTTACTTGAAGATATTCTTTGAAAGTGACAAACATGACTACCAACATATTTGATTTCTTAGAATGTCAGACAAAATCCCCTTCATGTAATTTTGTTTATCTGGACATAATCCCTCCATTGCTGGACATAATCCCCTTCATGTGTGAAATTTGAAGTGGACAAAATCCCCTCAATAAAATAGCTACCTAGGACAAAATCCCCCTCGCATGAATTTTCTGTTTATAAAGTGGGTATGAGAGCAACATACTGCATTATGCTGTGTGGTGATTGCTAGTACTTTATTCGGGAATATTGGATATACTGATAAGGCCTATGCTAGATGGACAGTGTTGCACAATTCATTTCTTCCTCACCATCTTTCAGAATTTATAGACAAGTTGTAATAGTGTCCTTTTTCCATAACGTGAGTTTTGAGGTCCCTTGGAAAGGGTTTTCGGATTAAAAGAATTGTTTTTCATACTAATCAATTTAAGAAAATTAAAGAAATTACCTAATCAAATAGGTTTGTTATGCAGTTGATAATTTACCACATTTATAATGAACACTGCTAAACTAATTAAATTGTTTTTAATAATAATTTGGTAATTGATCTGAACAAATAAAAAAATATGTCTTATCAAGCTTAAATAATTATAAAGGTTAACTTGATACATAATTATAAATAAAAAGAACAGTTCATTATTTTTATAGAGCATAATAATGCATTAGGTAAAGGGGATTTTGTCCAACCCTGCAAAACATGAAGGGGATTATGTCCACCCATGGAGGGATTTTTCCGGGTATGCGAAGGGGATTTTGTCAGAAGGGGATTATGTCCGTACACCGATTTTTTAGAACAGATTTCTGAGGCCTACATGGAAGATCGTAAAACTGAATCTGCTAGCCTCATTAAATAAAGTTGTTATTTACTTAGTTACTTACTTACTTATCTTCCAGCAAGCTCTAGAAAACTTTGACAAATTGAAAGAAGAACTTGATGTCCTTGAGAAACAAGAGGCTGAATACCAGAAAAAAGAAGAGGAACTTAAAAAGAAGGAAAAGGTGGATCATCTTAGATAAAAGTTATCATGCTGTGAGGTTTTGTTCTCAACTTATGATGTACACAGCGGTGTACATCAGGTTGAACATTCTTAACAAATGCATTAGAACTGAACTTAAATTTTGTGTAATATACACATAATTAATAATTTTCAAATTTCGGATGATCGAAAGATATCAGTCAGTCAATTAAGGCAGTGATAGGAAAGACACGCTGCACAACAGTTAACATGTGATAACAGAAGGGGAGTAAAAATTTGTTGTTGATTGAAATACACAGGACCAGAGATAGCAGTGACACATACATATTTACATTTTTACAAAAGTCAATCATGTGACCAATAGATAATCTTTATGAATGAATTGCTAAGTTTGAAGTTATATCAAATATAAAATTGAAATGAGGGTAATATCTGTATGACTTTTAATTCTTTTTCAGCTCACACCATGGAATATAGACACCATTTGCCATGATGGAAAATCTAAAACAGTGAGTTATATCTTTCCTTTTACTGAATTGAATTTCAGGGGTTATACCAGTAACTGGAAAGGAAATCTTGCTGGTTTAATTAGTAAAAATATATAAAGACATAAATATTACGCATACATGTGAACTTTTTTCGATGATCAAGTGGGAGATTTTTCTTCAAAAAGAGGGAGATTTTAAAATTTGCAATAAACAAAGAAGAAAGTTCTGATATCAAAAAGAGGGAGATTTCTTTAATTTGTGAAAATACCCCTTATTTTAAGAAAAATCTTTGAAAATATGGCTGCAGAAAGTGGGAGTCTCCCGCTTAAAGTGGGAGAGTTCACATGTATGATTACGGGAGTTCACATGTATGCCTTGTTAATTCAAGGAAGGGCTTTTGTCCACCCAGTCTTTCACGGGAGGGCTTTCTTCCCCCTCTCATTTTCAAGGGAGGGCTTTTGTCCGCCTTGTCATTTTTGGAGGGGAGGGCTTTTGTCCTGAAGGACTTTAGTCCGTTTTCCCACGTAGTTGCCTTACAACCATTTTGTACCAAGCCCTTAATATTAAATATACATAAAGTAAAAAAGCCCACGTTTTCTGATTAACATTCCTGTAATTCTAACAAGTGTTCAAGGAAAATACTTGTACCCAGTAATTATACACTTACAGGTCTGGTTGGGAAAGGAGTAAGGTATTCTGTTCTGCAATCTGTTTTATGAATTTTACCAATTTTGTATGAATTTTACCAATTTTACTAATTTTGTAAGAATTTTACAAATTTTGTATGAATTGTACCAATTTTACTAATTTTGTGTGAATTTTACCAAATTTGTATGAATTTTACCAATTTTGTATGAATTTTACCAAGTTTGTATGAATTTTAACCAATTTTGTTCATTTCCATCTTAAATATTTGATTTAGATCATCAACAAATATGACAAGAAAGATCAGAAAGAATTAACAGAGGAAGAGAAGGCAGAGAGACAGGTAAAATATTTTAATGTTACCATAGTAACAATTCAACAGGAGTGCCTAACTTTGAGTTCAGTGGAGGGGACATCAAGTATGTGATCGTTTGACCATCCTTGTCATGTCCATTATGCTGTCTGTTATATACTTGTCTGTTTCAAATTTAAAGTCGAGCTATTATGACCGCTCCTGAGTCATTGTTGTCATTGATGTCGATATAAAACTTGAAAAAATATTTGCTTATTATGACAAAATGCAGTTATATGACAAGAGGCATAATTTTGAAAGCAATTATTTTTGGAGTTATGCCCCTTTTTAGCTCATCTGTCACAAAGTGACAGGGTGAGCTTTTGTGATCGCTTTTCACCTTTAAAAATTGTTAAAAGAATTTAATTCCATGCAGAACTCTGGTTACCATGGCAACCGAAAGAAAAAACTTTAAATATCTTCTTTTAAAAAACCCAAAGAGCTAGAGCTTAGATATTTGGCATGAAACATCTTCTAGTGAGTGTCTACCAAGTTTGTTCAAGTAAAAGCCCTGGGGTCAAAATTGGCCCCGCCCCAGGGGGTCATTGATTTTCCCTATATGCATATAGTAAAAACTTAGAAAATCTTCTTTTAAAGAACCCAAAGAGCTAGAGCTAAGATATTTAGCATGAAACATGTTCTAATGGGTGTCTACAAAGTTTGTTCAAATAAAAGCCCTGGGGTCAAAATTGGCCCCGCCCCGGGGTCATTGATTTTCCTTATATGTGTATAGCAAAAACTTAAAAAATCTTCTTTGAAAAAACCCAAATAGCTAGAATTTAGATATTAAGCATGAAACACCTTCTAGTGAGTGTTTACAAAGTTTGTTCAAATAAAAGCCCTTGGGTCAAAACTGGCCCCGCCCCAGAGGTGTCATTGTTTTTAATTATATGTGTATAGTAAAAAATTAAAAATCTTCTTTTAAAAAACCCAATGAGCTAGAGGTACGATGTTTACCATGAAACATCTTCTTGTGGGTGTCTACCAAGTTTGTTCAAATAAAAGCCCTTGGCTCTGCCGGGGGGGGGGGTGTTTAGAGGTCATTGTTTTTCATTATAAGTGTGTAGTAAAAACTTAACATCATGAAACATCTTCTAATGGATGTCTTCCAAGTTTGTTCAAATAAAAGCCCTGGGGTTTAATATATACAGGTGAGCGACCTCAGGGCCATCATGGCCCTCTTGTTTAACTTATTTTTTTTAAAAGACAAGTGTGAACGCCACATGTGGCACTCTTGATTTTATGATGGTTTTGTTAGTAGCTGCATGTCTAATACTGTCCTTCCTCCACCATTGTTTATAATATAACATGTGGAGAAGTTTACAGTTACTTGTAGAGAGATAAGTATTCAGGAATACTAATGTAAAGTAAAATATGCTGGTATAAAATTGTTATGCATAGAACCCTGACCTATCGCATTCTAATTTTCAGATTAGTACATACAATAAGAATTTCACCACAACATATTTGTTAACAAAAGAGCACATGTCAATGTTTGTGGTTAAAACTGTTGTTATTTGGATAAATAAAAGGTCAGAGTAGGGATATATATTGATAATGTTATACCTTTTGAAAAAAAAAGAAAAAGAAAAAACCAACAAAAAGTAAATGAATTATAACTGTACCACTGTCTAAACTGGCACATCACCCTACAAAACATACAGAACAAAAAAGATTTAAGGCATTATTTGTGCAATTAAGTCATCCTAGCCTATTACATAAATCAAAACAAAAACAATTTATTACAGATATTTTAAGATGTGTAAATTAACAGATTACTAACCATAAACAAAACATGTCACATTCTGTGAAATTGTTTATCTTTCTTAAAGAAAGTGACATCTAGGTAAAAATACAAGATGAAGCATTCGGTATATTTGTTATGTTTTATACCAGGCTGAGTTTACAAAGAAACATAAACAAGAAGTGAAGAAGTACGGAATGTTCAGCAAATATGATGACAGTCAAGAATTCCTATTACAGCACCCAGAACTTGTATGTGAAGAAACAGCCAACTATCTAGTCCTCTGGTGTATAGATCTAGAAATTGAAGATGTGTGTATACCATTTAAATGGACTCCGGTGTCAATATGAAATTATTAAACTTTTATTTTCAAAAAATCAGATCTGGAATATTTTGTGATTGACAATTGATTCAATCGGCAGATATTTTGTTATTTTACTCTTCAGATTGATATGTCATGTGCCTGGGTTTTTAAGCTAGCCAAATATTTAATTGGAGCTTTTTTCTTGACTATTTGTCCTTCTGTCATTCTTGACTATTTATCCTTCTGTTATTCTTGACTATTTGTCCTTCTGTCATTCTTGACTATTTGTCCTTCTGTTATTCTTGACTATTTGTCCTTCTGTCATTCTTGACTATTTGTCCTTCTGTCATTCTTGACTATTTATCCTTCTGTTATTCTTGACTATTTGTCCTTCTGTCATTCTTGACTATTTGTTCTTCTGTCATTCTTGACTATTTGTCCTTCTGTCATTCTTGACTATTTGTCCTTCTGTTATTCTTGACTGTTTGTCCTTCTGTTATTCTATATACAGTTTCACATAACACCTTCATTTCATATCATGGATAATTTGTGTGATGGTACCCTTGCAAAGGTTTCAGGTGCATTTAGTAGGAGAAACTGGTGTTAAAACAAATTTTCCTTATCTTTCCCCCCATTGTAAGGTCATGATTATAGCTTTCAAAAAGCTATATTAAGAAACATCCATCAATGTTACCTATATGGCTGTTTTGTGATGATTTGATTGACAATGATACATCATTCAACCTTTACAGGTAGTTGAAATTAATTGCCGTTACTTTTGTGAAAACCGGTTTAAACTGGTATGAATATAATATACATTTCTGACAGACAGTGGCCTAGCAATAAATTACAGAAACAAAACTGTTAAACCAGTATACTGCACAGCTTGACACGGCCATTGCAAACAAAAAATAATTATTTAAAGGGAGCTTACTCAATATGAGAAGGTCTGCTTATATTTACCGCTTAAAACACAAATTAAGGATGGGATGAAGAATAAAGAAGCAGTTATTTAATATTTATATGTTTGAAATTGTGTGTAGATATGATGTAATGATGTTGATATAATGCTGTCCAGAATTTTTGCTTGCATTGACTGAAATTTTAATTTTGGTCTACAAAGTCTGTGTGAACAGACAATTTTTCAAGTATTGTCAATCAGATATTATAATTTCTCCAAAGATGGTACTTGAAACCCACCTGCACTAGAAATTAAAGAAACCAAAACAGTCTTCATCCTCATTTTTTCATGTACACAGATGGGTGTTGTATTAAAGATATACTATGCTCATGGTTGAGTGAAATAATTTTATCACAGAAATTTATTGAAATTTATGAAATTCTTACTGAAAATCTCTAATTTGAATAAAAAGAATGTTAAATGTAAAAGAACTATGTATGGGAAGCTGCATTCCCTATAGTCCATTCTTTAAAAAAACTGCCAATTTTATAATGACACTATATATTATTGTGGCTTCTTATAGTTTGCAGAGTTTAAAACATATCTACTTTGTGTGTAATTGAAACATGTTGATTTTATTTTTACAAAGAGTACATCAATTTTTAATATTTTCAAATATCAAATTTGAGCAATATATATCTTTAAGTTCAGGAGAGGCCTGCATAGAATATTTCTTTTACAGAAGAACTTTGTGTCTTTTTGTGCCTTGTTTGACATAGTCAAAGCTATGATCAAAAACCCAAAAAGCCCATTGTGATCTGCTATATGGGCTGTTTTCATGGAGAAAACCTTTGATGTAAAGCCGAGAGCCGCCTCTTTACGACAAAATAAGGCACTTCTATTAAGCTCACAAATATTTTTTGTGTTATAAATATTGTTTAGAAAGGATTTATCTCTTATATTTATTATATCTACAGAAACATGGCCTGATGGAACAAGTAGCACATCAGACAATTGTAATGCAGTTTATTCTAGAACTTGCTAAACAGATGGAAATTGACCCGAGAAGTTGTGTACGACCTTTCTTCTCAAGGTAACATTCCCCAATTATTGCATTTCTGTTAATCATGATACACTATTTATTTTTGGTGTTTTTTTTAAATTCTACAAACACTTCACTTGCGGAAAAATTGGTAATCACTGGTTAGTTATCCTGGAAAGTCAGTTAGACTGACAGACCATCAAGATATGGCCAGATATTTGTAAAAATTGGTGTAAAAACCAGACATACACATTTAAAAAAAGTTTAATTATTATTCTATCTAACCTCAATCTTTTAGTAATATTGACTAATATTGTTTTGTCATATACATGTAGATATGCTTGTAAATATACATGTATATATTGTGTATGTTTGTTCATTAAATATGAATTAACAAGATTTATACAATCATGTACATGGAAAAACATCATATGAAAATGAAGAACCAGTATGAAATGAGAGGTAACTCAAGTAGTTGTCAAATATAGAGGTGGTAAAGTAACCTCCCTGGAAATAATACTTTATTAAATATATACTGCAAGCAAGTACACTATCAACAAAAACTGTATGTATAAAAAATGATTAATTTCATTGACTTTTAGTTTACAAATACATTGTATTTTTCACAAAAGTACTATTTAAATTGCAATTCTTTAAGCGTGTTTTGTTTAATTACACATTTACAGTCTTATTATGTTCTGGTTGATTCCAGGAATAGATTAAAGAATGTATCAATAAGCTCATAGCTTCCTACAACCTGAAAAAAATCTGAGTAAACTTAATGTTATTTATTATATAACAGAATAAAGATGGCCCAGAAAGAGTACCTGGATGCATTTAATGATGAACTAAATGGATTTAAAGGAAGAATTAGGGCAAGAGCTAAACAGAAAATAGATGAGGCCATCAAGGAACATGAAGAGGTAAATGTAATTTGTGGCTGGTAAATTTTTTGTGGTCTGGTTTTTAAGTCACATCGACACATGTAAAGGCCATACAGGGACTTTCAAACTTAAGTGGTGGAAGAAGACCTCCAGTGCCACTACATACATTATTTCAGGCACAAATTGGAACATGAGTAGAACCACTGACCTTCCATTAGGTAGTGATGAAGGGGAGGGGATATGCTGATAATTGACCTGATTCATTTTAAAGATATTCATAGATTTAATATAACAAGACCTTTTTTTTTTCTTCAATTGATGAAATATATGTCAATTATATGGTCAGTTTGGTTGAAGAAATAAAATTCACAAATATTTCATTAATCCCATCTATCCAAAAAGTGTGGCCCACATTTAAAAAAAAATCAGCAGTTTTACCAGCAATTTTATTCAAATTGATTGATTGCAAAGACGATTATAAAAGAAATTTATTCAAATTGATTGGTCACTTGCAAAGAAATTACTGTATTAAATGTATTTAAGAGTCAGTTATGGTTTATTAGATAATTTAAAGATCGGTTTTCTTAATTTTTTTTTTCTGAAAACTGGTTATTTATAAGTTGATTGTTTGTGGATGGATGCCAAGGTGTTAACAATTTCTACCATGCACAATTCCTACATTTCTGAACCAGACTTTGTCATCAAGTGTTTAATCACATACATGTATTTACATGATTTATGGTTTCATTATTTTTGGCAAAATAGGGATCCTGTGTTTCACATAATACTTTGGGAAATCCTAAATCACACATGTTGAGGACTGTGAGTCAAGAGTTTGCACATTTACCCAAAAGCGATATTTTTCAGTTTGCGAATAGCTTTCTTATGTTGATGTTTATGTTATTGTAGGAGGAGAGAAAGAAGAGATTGGGTCCAGGTGGGCTAGATCCTGTAGAAGTGTTTGACTCTTTACCTGATGTGAGTACTGCTAACATACTTTAACATGTTATATAACATTCCTACCATCTTTATTCTGATAGTGATGATAGTAATATAATAAGTATCTAATGAACCTATCAGGGCACTTGGTATCTTGTATTTAATTTCTCGAGAATTGAAGATTCAATTTGAGATACTAGTGTAGGCTAAATGCTCAAGATTTTCTTCGTCTGTCATCAACAAATGGTCAACTATTTTTAAAGTGTTTTTAAGATTTACTTCTACTTTATTTTCTCCATAATAAGTAATAAATTATCGTAAGACATTGCATATACTAGATATGTAGCATACTTTTATTAGTCCCCTACCGGTTTACCAGAGGGGACTTTAGGTTTACCCTCCGTCCGTCTGTCCGTCCGTCAGTCCGTCCGTCCACAAAACTGGATCCCGCGATAACTTGAAAAGTACTGAAAATATTTTTATGAAACTTGGTATATAGATAGCTGGCAGTATGGAGATTATGCACGTCTTTTTCTTTTCTTCCTATGTTGAAAATTCTGGTTGCTATGGCAACAAATAGGCTAAAAATATGGCAAATTTTACACATAAACTGGATCCAGTGATAACGCAAAAAGTACTGGAAATATTTTTATGAAACTTGACATATGGGTAGATGGCAGTCTTGAGATTATGCATGTCTTATCTGTTCTTCCTATTTTGAAAAAATATCAGTTGCCTTGGCAACAAATAGGCTTAAAACATGGCAAATATAACAATATTTGTGATAAGTCAAAAAGAGCTGAAATTTTTTTATGAAATTGCATCTTTAATTCAAGAGTTATCTCCTCTTTAAGAATTTTGCTTTTAAAATGTTATATTTTGGTAACAGGGATGTTTCAAATATTAACTTTAGAGTGTCCTTCAGTCCGTCTGTCTGTCTGTTCATAAAAACTGTTTCCTGTGATCACTTTTAAAGAACTTTTCCAACAAGTTTATTTAAAATAGAGAAAAATTGAAACATAAGTGAATGGCCAATCGCCCTTCAGAATGTTGATGGGGTTCTTACCGGTAGGGGACTTATGGATTGCTTGCAATACTATGATAATTGCTTGTTGTCATTGTTTATTGTTTTCACATTAACTGTCGTTAAAGGTAAAATTTAAATGAAACTAGAAAGAAACTGCATCTTCATAGGAATGAATAAAACAGTTATTCTTGAAAATATTGGTCAGTTATTGTGCACCAATCATTGCTGTTTCTTTATGTGTTTGGAAATAAAATTCGTTTAAACTGCTGTGCTATTTCTCCTTAATTTTTATTGTCATTTTAAATTTGGGTTTGAATAATCACCTTTCAGGAACTGAAGGAGTGTTTTGAAAGCAAAGACATTGCAAAGTTACAAGAAACTGTTTTAAAAATGCCGAAAGCTGATGCTGAATATCATATAAAACGATGTGTAGATTCTGGATTGTGGGTGCCTAATGCTCAAGATGCAGAAGGCGGGGAAGGGGAGGGGACTGAAGAAGGGGCGGAGCAAAAAGAGGAGGAGACTTATGAGGAGGTTGACTGACTAAAGAAGTGGAGACTGTGTAAAATATTGTAATTATTAGAATATACAGAATTGAAAAGTTCTGTAATAATGAAATAATAATCATCAAAAATTATAACTGAAAATTTTTTGTTGCGTTTTATTGTATGCTTTTACCACTAAATAAGTTTGCAAAATGGATTTGTGTTCAGTTTAATGTCTACCATTACAATACAGTGATGGAAATACACATAGCTTCAACACGGAACACAAAACTCTTTAAAAAATATGTGTAGCAGCATATGTCACAGTTTTCAATCACTTTACTGTCAACAGTATCTGAGTCAATTACAAATTTATACCATTTATTTATACATTTTGTACATGTACCATTTTATGAAAATTATTGAATACAAATAAAAACCATTTATATAATATCATTTCATTACACTGTTATTGAATGGAAAGATTGTATATCAGAAATGTTAGAGCTCTAGTTTAGTTGCATGTTATGTTGATGTTATAATTGTTTTTTACTGGTGAAGTTTCTATGATTTAGTTTAGTTTTTATAGTTGTAAGATTTAGTTGGTTTAATACAGGTAATTGTGAAAGAATAATTTGCTGTCAGTCAATTAATGTCTGTTACATGTTATTGAAATTGTTATGACCATTTTTCAGATCCTTTTAAACTTGTCTTTGTTACAGTATGCTGATTTTCTTGTCAGAGTAAGAAACAATTTTCAAACTGTGTCTCTTAAAATGGCAAAGATATACTCTCAGTCAAACTTTTTTTGCTCAGAGGACCCATACAAATTTGTTTTTTGAGATCAGAAATTCAAGCTACCCGAGGTTGAAGTGATATCATGTATTGTAGTAATTCAAGCTACTCAAGGTTGAAGTGATATCATTTATTGTAAGATCTTATTTTATGGAGGTTACATCAGTTGAATTTAAAATAATGCCTACACAATTCTTTGTGAGGTTTCCATTTGTCGACTACATCATTTAATATAAATATTAAGAATTATTGCCAGAACAATACGTACTTGTGTTATCAATTGAATGTAAATGGTACACTGTGTTAATCTATATTCATGCATATTGCAACTGGTTGTGTTCGATTGAGTAATAATTTTTCAAACATGTTGAACAATGTTATTCAACTATTTACATGCTGATTATGGAATAATTATTATTGTAAATTGTGGTCTCATACAAAGGTTATAGCTGGATGTAATTATAGGCATAATAAAATGTTCAAGAATCATTCTATAAATAGATCATGTTATAGTACAATAAACATTATATGAAAATTACCAGGGAAAATAATATTTATTGATGTCTGCTTAAATGTGTGTTTATCAAAATCTTTTCTTGCCAAATATTTATGTATTTTGCTTGGCAATTGTTTTATCTTTTTTAAGATTTGATGATAATACTAAAGAAACTGGCATTTTGTTTTAATTGTAACTAAAATTGGCAAGTAGACAAACACCTCTCATTTTATATCAGTTAATCATAATTGCCTTTATCACCATCACAAGGTGTTAAGAAACATATGACGTTGACTGTCACTGTACATTTTGTAATTGAAAGCAAGTTGAGCCACAACTATTGTTGTCAGTGACCAAAAAGATGTGATTTTCTCTACATTTCTGCAGACAAAGAGATCAGGTTTGAAAGTTCAAGCAATTTGTGCTCAGAACAATTTGTATTATGTCGGGGATTTTGCCAGGACCAAATAGTGAATTTGAGCGAGTGATTTAGCATTTCAATCTCCTGTCCAGTACCAACACTGTTGGTTTGCATTTAACAAATGACTGTATTATTTTATTTTATAAAATTCCTAAAGAAAACTTTATTTTGTGTTCAAAAAAACATGTTCACATATTATTTTTTACAGAAAAGAATGAAAAAATTTTATTGATTAGAACCTCATGTGTATTTATTATTTGATGTTAATTAAGGGAAATTTGGCTTTGTTTTATAGATTTTTCATGCTTTAAATTTTGAACTGTTTATTAAATTTTTAGGAGTTTTACCCTTTACCTTCTGGAACTGAAAATGATAAGACTTTGCCACTAGTATAGAGCCTGGCCTGTCTCGGCATCTGTGTAGTCTAACCAGGCTCTATACTGTAGGTACTTCAATTTTTGTTTTTGATATTGAAATCCATTACACATTGAATGAACTGTTCCAAATTAAAACAAGTCGGCCTGTAATTCATTTCACAAATTCAGCAGGTTAAATATAAAGTAATTAAAGGTAAAATTTTGCAGCCAAGGCTGACTTTAGGTTAATATACTGGTGGCATGGACAAGTTATATTGTGGTTTTCATCAACTCTTAACTAGTTAAATTTATGCTGTTTCAAATTTGGAAAAGTCCATTTGAAGTGTAAGGGATATTGATATCTAAAGTACAAAAAAGTTACCAACGGTATGGATCTTGGTTAGACAATGAAAGCTATATGTATGATTGTGGTCAGGCTTGCTTTCAGTTTCAGGAAAAAACTTTAAGGCAATAATGATCTGAACAGGAATATAATTTGAATTATGTGTCAGCAATTTTCATGTCCTTGTACAGTCAGAAGGAAAACAAATAGATTATTTTAGAAACTTGCATGTTTATTGTGATTGTAATCCAATATTTATTAACCCTAAATATGACTGTAAGGCAAACTTTAATATTCTGTTCTACATTGACATAACTCGTTCATATTTTACATTATATTACAGCAGTTTTACAATTAACATAACTCGTTCATATTTTATATTATATTACAGCAGTTTTACAATTAACCCCGAGATATAGCCAGGAAGAAGACATGTAAACTTACTGTTACACTTCCGTCTAAATTTCCCTAAAAAAAGTCAATCACTTTATCTTCCTCTTGCATGGTAAAAAAAAAGATGACAATAAATATTATAGAAGAGATTTGTGTACATGATATCATGCTTTTCTATCATACTGTAAACATGTGTGTATTGCTGTGCTCTTTTCTTCAAAGGAACTTTACTGAGGTCCAAAGCCTGAAAATAAAATTTTAATTTCATACATAGATCAACAGGGGGCTTTCTAAAACAGAAAGATATGCAAAGATAATTAAAAAAAAATATACTTGGAAATAAATTGAAAATCATATTTTTGTGCTATTCAGGGACCAATTTAAGTGAAAAAGAATTTAATTTTGCATATTTTTTCACAATAAGAATCATTATTCTGAAAATATAGTTTGAGCAAATAATCTGAAATTTGGCACACAAGTTATTTATCTAGACCTACAGCAAATGGAGCATTAATCTCGAAAAATTATTCCCAGTCCTGTCATGTCAGAAAACCTCAGTTAAGTCCTTTTAGTAGAACCATCACATCATCAGTGGAGAATTAGTTAGTTATTTATTTACATGTATAAAGAAAATTACCTCAATACTTAAAAATCTACATAAATATTAGTATAAATATTTATCTTGGGAGCCAATAGCATTTTATACTATTTTAAGCTGTATGCATTTCAACAAGAGTCATTTTGAAGAATGTTCCAGGAAAGAAAAATATAGGTAACTTCCTAATTTGCTAAAATTATTCATTGGTATGCATTTAGGGTCTTCAGTAATCACTCATCAGTTATAAACGTATGTGAAATGTTTCCAGATATTGATAATAAAATAAATAAAAAGTTGTATCACATGGTACTGCAGCTCTACAATTATTGTTTAAAATTTCTAAGAGAAAAGGAAAATTGGATAAGTTATTAAAACAGGTAACCTCTGGAAATGTAAACTCCTTTGCCACCAGCATAGAGCTAGGACAGCATGCAGATCCATGCAGTTTAGCAATGCTATATATACTGATGGCTGACGAACCTCCTATTTTCCCTTTGGTTAGCTCAATAGGTAGAACATTAGACTATGAATCGTGTGATGTGGGTTTGATTCCTGCATAGTGCAGGTCACTTTTGATGTGATTGATCATGAAATCCATTCTATGGTCTTTTGCACTGTACCTCTGCTCTGGCATGTACAGAGTTTCAGTTCCTTGCGGAAGTGAAGGCAAATAGTACTGGTAGAATGCTTGAGTATGCCCAGGAACGATGCAGTGGCTGAACTGTGCTCTAGTAAATTTAATGTGGTTACTGCCTTGATCCGGAGTGAAAATTATCAATACCACCACCACTTCCTATTTTCATCTCAATACCCCCAAAATTGATGATTTTGGAAACTGGACGTGTCCATTTAAGAAATGTAGCAGGTTATGGAGATAGCATTAATCGGTATAGAACCAGGCCAATATGCAAATTCACATAATTTATCCTGACTACACTGTCAGCTGTTTAAGTTTTTTTTATATTTATAATGTCTTAAATTTATTATGTATAGTCTCTGAATTTAAAGCTGAGAAAGTCAGTTACATAAATTTCACATTAGAAGGGTTAAAGGCATCTTCTTATGTATTACAAATTCTCAGCATTTTATTTCCTTTTCATGTTTGATGAGACATTATTATGTAGGTCTGTAGGATGTAATATGATACTGTTAAAGTGTGAATTTGACTTTATACTTGAACCAAATTCCTTTGACTAGTGTTAAAAATGTCTTTGTGTTTATTTTGATTTCCTTTTCTACTTAAAATACATATATCTCTGTAATGTCCTTATTCATTGTGACAGATTTGTAATGAAATTATATATGTATTGGTGTTGTTTTGTCTTTATACTCCCAAAAGAATTAAGCTGCTATTTTATTCACCTCCGCTTCTATCACTTGTTTATTGACATTTTAGACATTTGGTGTTACTTTATGTAGACAGACTTCTATCAGGGTTGACTGGGTCACCTGCCTCTTAGGCTAAAAATAAATTTGTAAGGCCATGTTTTTAACATTGTCAAAGCAACATTCAAGAATATCCATACTTAATCCATAGCTTTTAAAACTAAAGAAAACACTTAAAGTATGAGCTGCCATAATTTGTGGGAAATATTCTGTGGTCAGGACCTCTATGCCTGACCTCTAATTGCTTGCCACTTAAGTTCAAAACTTGCTAGGAATGTTGAAATCTTTTCATGTTAAGACCTTGTTTACAGAATGATGGTGGCTACAGTAACAAAACTACAAGTTCTTGAAATAAATAAATATGTGAAATAGCATAGGTTTTCTTATGTCAGTAAAGCTGTTATGTTGTCTTTTGAATTTAAATGTGTTGCTTAGTCTGAAACAGTAAACTGTTGACATTGATGTTAAAGGTCATACTGATAGTGACCATATTATGGTTTTGGGTTTTGGTTCACTAATTAAAAAGATTTTATCATACAGCTACCGAATCTAGAGAAATAGATGATCAGACTATGAACAAATGTCTTGTTTTATTTTCTGGTTCACAGGACATATTAATACGAAGTACTGTAAACCTTAAGTTGCTACTTTATGACGATTATACTGATCTTAAAAACACAACAAACTCATTATGCAAAATCATAACAAATAGTCCAATAAGAAAACGTCATGTATTTGCAAGACATGCCCCTCACCGCTGTGGATTTGAATATCGACCGTGACTTTGGATTCTTCCATTTGAGGAAGCTATCCAGCTAGCTTACTGAACATTGGTGGTTCTACTCGGGTGCACATTCGTGTTTGAAATAATTCTTGGAAGGGCACCTGAGGTTCTCCAGCACCAGTAAAGCTGGAATGTCACCATAGAACCTATAGTTATTACTGTGTTGGTGTGACGTAAAACATGATCAAACAAATATTTTAATATGCATGCATGGTTAAAGACTATATCTAGATGCTTTTACAGTACAAATGTAATAAACTATGACTTGTGATCTTGGTAATCTATAGAGGTAACTGTGGTAAAAGTGAGTTAATGTATACTATTCTTCTGAGGTTGATTAACTATTTAGTCAGCAAATTTAACCTACACAAAATTTAAAAGTAATACACTTCTTGATTAACACAATCAAGATTTGGAATATATATAATCACAGGTTTGAAATATATAATGATACAGAAAATCTAACCACTTTACAAATCACTCATGAATGACTTGTAATTCAATTTAACAATATTAAGGAGTGTGTAGTATTTAATTGAAATATTTCAATATTTTCAAAGGGATTGGGACAATTTGAATAAATAACATATTTTTGAAAGCTTTTATAAATATGATTTTTTTAAACATTTAATATCTTAAAAATTAAGTTGTCTCACTGAATGTAATTGAGACTTGATTAAGTCAGTATATAAAGAAAGACAACCTGTCTGTCTGTATAATGTTAAGTCAAGAAATTTGTTGCAGTGCATTAATAAGGTCATGTATTTGAGGTGTATGCAACAGTTACAAAAAGAAATGTAGGCAGAATGAAA